AAAAAAATAAACAAAATTTGGTACTTAAAAGTTAGGTCCCAGGAGAATTGTAGAGGACTCCTTAAAACCAGGGTGGCTGGGCCCTCCCTGGTGGCGCAGGGTAGTTCAACCCCTGCCCCGGATACACATGGCGTGGCAGACCACTCCTAACCTGTTCTGTCCACTGCTCCCCTCAGCAGTGTACTTTTGACAGTTGGCCTGTTCTGCTCCCCACTCTGTCTCTGGTGAATCCTCTCACTGCCCCTGCACCTCTAGCCTATACCCCAGTTCTGTATGCACAAATAAATAGATCTTTAAAAAAAAAACCAGAGTGGCTGTGGCCACTTCCTCTCTATGACCATGTAGAAATTCTTGGCCAGTGTTTCCAAAGCTGAGTTTTTATATATCCCCCAAATAGATGAAAAAGAAAAAAAGAAAAAAAACCTTAATTTTAAGTATTGGTCTTGTTTAAAAAAATAAACAAAATTTGGTACTTAAAAGTTAGGTCCCAGGAGAATTGTAGAGGACTCCTTAAAACCAGGGTGGCTGGGCCCTCCCTGGTGGCACAGGGTTAAAGCAAGGCACTAAGAAGCTTAAGTCACTTGAGCATGAGTTCAACCCCTGCCCCGGATACACATGGCGTGGCAGACCGCTCCTAACCTGTCCTGTCCGCTGCTCCCCTCAGCAGTGTACTTTGACAGTTGGCCTGTTCTGCTCCCCACTCTGTCTCTGGTGAATCCTCTCACTGCCCCTGTACCTCTAGCCTATACCCCAGTTCTGTATGCACAAATAAATAGATCTTTAAAAAAAAAACCAGAGTGGCTGTGGCCACTTCCTCTCTATGACCATGCAGAAATTCTTGGCCAGTGTTTCCAAAGCTGAGTTTTTATATATCCCCCAAACAGCTGAAAAAGAAAAAAAGAAAAAAAAACTTAATTTTAAGTATTGGTCTTGTTTAAAAAAATAAACAAAATTTGGTTTAAGCATTGTGCATTTTCAAACCTCTGCTTTAGAAATTGTTGTACATGGTGATTACATGATCAGGAGAATGAAAATGTCTGACCTCTGATGTAGTGGTTGTATGTTATTCATGAATGAGGTGTTAAGAAGCAGAAATTATTGAAACAGAAAACTATTGAAAATGATCTCATCATATAATTCAGGTGTGTTTCTGCTGGGAACCATATGTACTCTGCATCAACTCTGACATGATGTACATGGCTTCAGGCAATTTCTTGCATGTCTCTGGCAAAAAACATGTTAGACCATAGATTTCCAGTTTTAGCACTGTTGACATTTTTGGCCAGATATTCTCTTATTAGCATTGTCTGTGTAAGACCTGGAGCCCTATCCCTGCCCTCTGTTCACCGGATACCAGATGTCCTCTCCTTCCAATATAAACAATCTAAGTGTGTATACTGCCAAGTGTAATCTGAAGGACACAGTCCAAAGGAGGGAAAAAATGAGCCAATATTTAAAATTTGTTTGTGCTAACCTATAAAGTAAACACAATTAGCTTTAAACTTCTAGAGAAGGGGAGCCTCCCTGCTCCCTGGTGGAATGGTTATCAGTCTCAGTGCTATCACAAGGAAGGCCCATTGTGATTGTTTGGATTCTGCCCAGGGAGCTGACCCATATATAGCACAGCAGACCTCTCCTGTCTTGCCCACTGCTCCCCATAGCAGTATCTTTCAGTAGATACACCTGTTCTGCTCCCCAATCTGTCTCTGGTGAATCATCTCACCCTCGGCACCTCTGGCCTACACCACAGTTCTTTTAAGCAAAAATAAAACACTCTTTTAAAAAATAAACTTCTAGGGAAGGTATTTGTAAAGTTTACAAATATCTGCCATTTTAAAACATTATATAATAAAGATGTCTTTATTATATAAAGACATCTAAGTGTATCCTGCTAAGTTTTACCTTAAGAAGAAGTGTATGGGTTGGATGCTACATAGTTGTTAAATTTCATGAAGTTTAACACATTGGAAACTAAAAAGGAATTCTGTAGTAGTTTTAATTTTCTCCTTTTTGTACACTTGATGTCTATGTTTTTAAAAGTTTATCAGTTATTAATTGGCCAGACTTGATAAAATTGACATAATCCCTAATAGAAATCAAGGCCAAAAAAATTTAATTGAAGTGAAATTGCACTATAACACCAGATACTTAAGGGGCCAAACTGAGTCTTACTGTATAATTTGCAGGGTGTCTTTAAGAGCCCCAGTAGACCACCAGCTTTAAATAAGAATGCATCTTATATAACCACGGTTATTTCAAGGTCCCTGAGTTAGATGGGTCCTGAAAGAGAGGTTTCTATTTTCAAGACATTCTTTCTTCTGACATGAGTTATATATATCATGTAGGGTTGGTTCTCTCATAAAGTTAGGGTTTCTCAGACCTCAGAAATATGCAGTTGCTTTATTGCTGATAAAGTTTTTCATTTCCTAGAATAAAATTCTACTGTGAACGTGATTTATTCAGTGAAGCTCGGGTTTAAAATTTTCACTTGGTAGCGAACTTAATGTTGTATATATACATGTAAATTTTCTAAGATGCATACCTGAAATATATCTGGCTCCCAAGAAACCAAACAGTAACCTGCCAAGATAAGAAGAATATGTGCCTGTGACTTTTATTCCCTCCAAATTGAGATTGGAAAGACTTGAATGTGCTCTACTACTCCTGGGAGGCAGAGGATAAAGATAGGGGAATGAGAAATAAACAGTGCAGTGAGATTTCAGGGAAGGTGAAAGAGGATGGATTCCAGATTGCAGGTGGAGAGATTGGTCTTTGATAGAACAGGGAGGAGGAGGCTGAATAAAGAGGCTTCAATGTGGGTCTAGAATTTTGAAGACTTCTCTTTTCTCTCAAGGAGAAAGCAAAAGCATCTGCTAAGTTGGGGGGGGGGTGTGTGCAATCACTTATTTCACCAAATACTATTTACAGAGCATTTTCTAGTAGTAAACTTTGTGATGGATTTCTTGCAAAGGATTATGATGATGTTGATTGCTGTTAAGCTTGGCCTATGTGATATAATAAGAAATACAAAATTGATCTTTGTCTGTGGCTCTTGACATAGCTCCTGAAAATTCTTGGAATTTCCTGGGTGATAGGAATAGCTTTTGTTATTCATCCAAGAACCCTTTTTATACTTGAGTTTGTACTGCTAATCAGGTGACTTAGGCTGGGAGCCCTTTAAGGTAGCCTGCGGCTGATCACCAGAAACATCTAGTGATTAGAGGGTTGGAATGTTCAGCCCTACCCACTGACCTTTGGGAAAGTAACCATGCCTAGAGATTGGGTTATTACGGCCCTTAATGCTGTTAGGAGAGCTTCTGGGTAAAGGACCACACACAACCTGGTGCTAATAGGGTGTAACTCAGGACAGGACTATGTCTCTCACACCCTCCCCCCAAATGTCCCTTTGAACCTCTTCATTTGACCATTCCTGGTTTGCAGACTATACTGAAATGGTAGTAGTAAGTAAGTATTCTTACTTCTCTGGAACCATGGTAGTAGATTTTTAAACCTGAAACCCATCATGAGAACCCCTGAATTTGTAGATAGCCAGGGTACCCCACTTACAGAAGGTGTTTGAAGTGGGGACAATATTGTGACACTGATTGGTGGGATTGGCACCAACTTTGGGGGGAGGTAGTGATTGAATGACTGACTGAATGAATACCCAGTTGATGTATGAATTGGTCCCTGTCAGGAGGAAACAAACCACATTTAGTGTCAGAAGTATTGTAAAAATTGTTGTGGAACATCTGAGATAGTTTCTTCTCACCTTTTCTACAAGGTACTCC